CAAGTTTTTAACTATTGATGAATCTTCTTCAATCGTTAATCAAAAACTAATAAAACACATAGAGATGAATTCATGTATGATTATCATGTATAAGCTTGATTAATCTTCCTCGATATCTTACGAATATAAAGAGTAACTGAGTTTTCAAAGGAGAAAACACACATAAATGAAAATACTTTTAGATTTAAGCTTACATCTTAAAGTAAGAATCATCTTTCATATAAGATAATTACATAGTGTGATCTAATTATAAATCAAGATGACTCTAGTGTTTTCTATAAAGCTACTAGGATCACAGTAACATTACTAGTCTTATATGTAGTCGACATACTAGTTCTTGGAATAAAGATCTATATAGATAGATCATGACAACTTAAGGATTAAGTAAAATTACATTAATTGTCAAGGATTTTAAAAAGCTTAAGATAAGACCCTGAGAGATTTTATCTTGTCAAATACCATATGACATGATTTTGAGCACTCCTAAAAATCCAAGTACAATGTTTTAAACTAGATATTATGGTTGTATTCCATATGTTTTGTAGTTATATTAATCATATATGTCATGAATATGCATGAAGGACAAATAAGTCTTATGCTTAGAGAATGTATAATGATACCAGTATAATCTGAGAATAAGTCAAGGTGTGACTTAAAGGAACATTCTAAACTACTTGCGAGAACTATAGAAATATTCCTAATCCGCAAAGTGTTCGAAAGAATGATATGTTTAATCTGATACAAATAAGTTGAACTTTCATATTGATTAAGATGGCTCTAAATCACAAAAGGGTGTGTCCTCATTACAAATGAAGAGAAAGTTGCATGGAAAGTGGTTCCATGTAGATTTTAATTACGGTTAGACATCAGAATTAGGATACATTGTTGTTTGGGGGACCGCATACTAAGATTCTTAATGTATAGTTCATTCTGACTATGAGTAATCCCATTATACAAGTATTAGTATCTAAGTCATATTTATGCATCTAATACATTCTAGATAGTTTTCTTCATACAAAAGTTATATATATATATATATATATATATATATATATATATATATATATATATATATATATATATATAACTGAAAATGTTTGTATTCACAAAGTTTATGCAAACCAAGTTTATTGAATCTAACTGTCTAAGTTCATTCAGTAGCTAAAACATGAAAATTAAGTTGGTAGTGTAGGACCTTGTTGTCCTAAGTAGATGTATTTGATTGAAATTTAGTATTTGAATATTGGAATAGTACAAGCAACATATATTTTAATGAGTTGATATATTGGACATGAGTCTTTCGTTAAATAATTATTATGTTCTATATTACCATGTTTAAATCCTTGAGTAATTAGGTTATTCTAAATGTCCATAGTTATTCATAGTTGTGGGAGAATCTATCAGGTAAGAATAATATTAATGGATTAGTTGATTTTCATGGAGATGAAAATAGCAAGATATGCTACCAAATTCATAGGTACTTGATCAGGAGAATAAGTATTGGACTTAATCCACATCAAAATCACTTTATGGATCGTAGTGATGAGTGTTTTTTATTACGGTTGTATGTTTGTATTCTTAGACCTGAGATACATTTTTGGGACTTAAAGTGTAGGAATTGTTGTGCTTTGACATAGTTTAACATTGTTCCATAAAAGGCGGTCATAAGGGCTATCGTTGGGTATGACATGAACTACAAGATAGGCGTATGTAGTCAAGATGGGATTTTTCTCTCTAATTTGTTAAGATATAGAAATTTAAGGTCTTACTAAAAGCTGAACACTAAATCAGATTGATGGCGATCCATATCTCATGTTCAACATGATGTCTAAGACAAATGAATAACTTATACCACAACTTTAGTAAGAGTTGTATCTTAGAGCTCCTGGAATAGGTTGTTGATGAGATGGAACACTTCATATGTTGATATGGGTAGTAGCCTGTTCCTAGATGTCAACTACAGTCTATGTCAGTCTCTAATGAATCTTGTGTAAGTGAGAGATTGTTGAATCTATATGCCTAAGAATCATTATTGAGTGATGTTGCTAATAATATATGATCCTATAGAGTCACACCTTTATCAAGTTGGCACATTTTTTATATTTATTATAAATCTGGTTAGTAATAAATAATATCAATTCTTATATTTAAGTAGGGAATAATTATTGCTTAGTGAAAATAATAATTATAAGAGAGTATAGCTAGTTATTATATCATTGGTATTATTTAGTAAGTCATGTATACAGTTTTGGACACTTTGGTTAACCATGATCAAGTTAATAAGTTAATATACCATGGTTAATAAACTACCTAGACAATTTTGGTCTCTTCCTCATGGTATGTCCTAATTTTTTATAAGGCATAGAGGTTGTTTGTCAACCTCCATACCTTGTCTCCATGTTTCTAAAACGCTAGAGTTGTTTTATATTATTTTAATGTAAAAACATGTCTTGCATGAGAGTATAAAAGGAACCCTTTTTCATGAGCTTGGAGCTAGTTGTTAATATCTTTCACATTTTCTCTCAAAAAGAGTCAAGAAGTTTTAGCCTCTTCTATCCCTCCTCTTCTCTCTCTCTCTCTCTCTCTCTCTTTTGAAGTTAGTTTGGTGGTTTAAAGCTCCATCCTCTTCTCTCTCTTTTGAAGTTAGTTTATTGGTTTAAAGCTCCCTTGAGTTGTCTCCTTTAGTGCTTATTTGACTTAAGTACTTAAAGGCATAAGACACTCAAGAATACAAGAAGGAACTAGCATTCCGTGTGCCTTATTCTTGATGGTGGATACACATAGGGAAATACTATTCTTGAATTTTTGTTATCTTCATTAATACCCCAAAACCAAATGGGTGTAGAGGCTTTAAAAGTTGTCATTCTAAAACACTCTTTTATTGTTTTAATATCATTCTAACATCTATAAATGAATCATGGATGGTTTGGTTTTGTTATAAATTAAAAAATAAATTTGTTATATTTATAAGACTTTCGTTGCAGTTTTATGAAAAACACACTTATATTTTGTATCAAACCCCATCAACATCGTGACCACCCTATGGTCATGTCGTGGCACATGATTTATTACAAAAAATCACGTGAGATTTAAACCATCAAAGCAATGTACTCTTGTTATTAATCAATTTGATCCATAATAACAACATACAAATTAACTTTTAAACCATAACAACGTACGTCTTGTGTTTTGTCTGATTGGTTGGATTGTGTGGACTAGGTAGATTGGGAAGATGGTGTCCTAAAAACCACAAAATTAACACCTTAAGCTCATATATCATAGGTAGCACCCTTCTTTTTTCCTCCTTACCTCTACATAATCCTTGTGGTTTATCTAATCCCGCACTATATTTGTACACCAACCCCTGCAAATATGCATCATATAATTTTCGAAAACAACACCTTTGTCATATACAAATAAATAAATAAATAAAAATAAAAAAATAATTAAGACAGTCAATATATAAAAATGATAAAGATAAGTTGCTTTTGCTTCTTTGGTTGTTTATGAATAGTATTCCATATTTTCACGATCACCATGAAAATATATTTTCTTTGAATCAACAGTATCATGTGTCTTGATGAATAGATCAAAAAATGTAAAATCTTTACCCCGTTGTCTACATAAAAGACAAAGTATAATTGATGTAGTTAGTCTTAAAACAAATCAAGAATTATAAAATTTATAGTTATGATACTTACTAATTTACAACGGTGCTCGGTGCATCCTATGGTATCAGGAGTGCCTTAATGTTGCGAAGGCGTATTTTAGTTCTTTTTAGCAATTTGTGACTGCTTTTTCCACTTCTTTGTGCTCCAATTTTGTTAAAATAAAAAATAATGTATAATAATATAATAGGAAATAAAAACTTAACAAAATAAACAATAATGTATTATATCCCCAACGTCACACAAATGTGGCCACACAATATACAAGGTACGGTGGATTCATCGCATGATAGTATTGACATGATTATGCAACCCAGGATAGTATTGACTAAAATCTTTGGGGATAGGTAACCCATCATCTCAGTTCATATTGCTAGATAGCTTCCTTAAATCCCCATCATCTCGGTTCATATTGCTAGATAGCTTCCTTAAATCCCTCATATTGTCTCTATATTTATCCTTAATGACATTTTTGAATGCCGTATATAAGTCTTCATGCTCTTCTGAGTACCACCTATGCTTGGTGTGTGAAGAATAAAAAGTAAATTTGAAAATATAAACTAAATACAAATGAGTATAAGATACGATAATAAGTATTTTATATATTACCCTAAAACGACGAACATCCCTGTAAGATTATAGAGCCGCATCTGAAATGGTAGGTCCCTCTGCTATTTAGAAATAGATAAACTATTTCAACAGAGGAAGAACTTTAAGATTCAACTCAAATTTTAAACACTCAAATAACTCTTGTTTATTTCTCATGGACAAAGGCCTATATATAGGTTCGAAGGAATCGGTTACAATTATTGTTGCAATTGTATCATTGCAATACGACAAATATATATTTACATTTTAGACCCTTAGACTATGGAGGCTCTTACACTTTATGTTACATCGTACGACACTACATTATTTCATATACAGACAATAATTATACAACGACAAATAACAAATAATTACAATATCTTCCACACTGAAAGGACAAGTATCTTCAATAATGGTTCTAACCCTTGACATTGTATTTTTTTCAATATTTATTAGGGTTGTAAATGAACTGAACGTTCAATGAACTTTTCGTAAACCGTTCGACGGGAAGTTCGTATATATTCGTTTATTTAATAAATGAACGAAATGAACACAAATTTTTGTTCGTTTAGTTAAACGAACAAAATGAAAATAGTCTCGTTCTTTCATTTATATTTGTGAATGATTGTTTATGTTGTTCGTTAAATTTGTTTATGTTCGTTCATATAAGTTTCTTTTCTCTTCATATATGTTTAAAAATTGTGTTTGATTACATTACTATATTATATGTTCATTTCTTTATATTTGTTTCTTTATGGTCGTTTTATATGTTTGCGAACATAAACAATGTAATTTGTTAAAGAAACGAAGATGATTAAGAAAACTTGTTCGTTTAACTGTTCAAGCTCGTTATTTGTTTGGTTAACTTAAACGAGTGAATATGAACAAACCCCGTTCGTGTTCGTTTACGGTGCTAATATTTATGTGTACGACAACCAGAAAAAAATATTTAATTATTGACCGTCGGTAATCACCAACGGATCACGAATGACAGTTGGGTCCGTCGCCAACACCAATCTGTCACAAATTCTTCACTAATTAGGACGTCGGTGATCTCTCTCTCTCATCACCATACCAAAATTTTGTTGATTATTGATTTTATTGTTTGTTTGGCTGCTTTTGACATTCTTATCTTATTGTTTTGGCATTCTATTTGTTTCCTTTCGGTTGTTGGGATCAAGGGTTTGGATAATTAATGTAGTGATAACTTTCTTTATTGTGTGGACATTTTCCTTAAACTTGTTGGAAAACGTTGCAAAAGATATGCTATACAACTTAGGAAACAAAAAGGATTGCACATGTATAATTTCATGTCTCATATATATACACAAAATCTCTTTACAAGCATTAGACTAGGATATAATCTCAAATCTGCAACAAACACACTACCAAAATTTCCTAAATCTCATACTAAATAATAAACTAACCAAAACTCCCAAGAACTGTTGTATGTTGGTGATGACTGATGAGGGTTCTTGAGTTTTTAGAATTTCGAATACAATTAGTTGTTTTGCTGATCACGACCTAGCAAAACTTCTTTGCCTTAGAAAAGGTGAAAGTTTCTTTGAAATTGTTGATTTAGGGAGTGTGTGTAACTTGTAGTTATCTAAACCACCTCCATAGCTTTTGCTATTAGTTTTCATCTTCCTCATCCTGGTGTACGGATTCTTCAGTTTCTTTGGAAGGTCCTCTATGCTCATTACTTTTGCAAGAGATGTAAATGATTCTGATTTCCCGTGATAAAACTGTGATAACCCTCTTCTGGGAACAAAAACAAACACAGTTTAATATACAGATTCTTGATCAAAACTAAAAAATAAAAACTCAAATTTCAAATCTTTTTGTTCAGAAACTTACTTGATAGGTAACTCGGACATAAGGCTCGATAAATCAAGTAGAGAAGATCCATTTGAGTTAACTGAAGATGAAGATGAAGCATCGTCTGTTGTATCTAATGAAGAACATGAAAAATTTGATGATGATCCATTTGAGATTGTTGAAGCTCCTTCAAAGGATTCTTGATCCGACTTTTGCATGAAACCCCAGGTATGTTCATGATGATTATCTTGAAAGATTTTATTTTTGAATTCACCCATTTTTTCCATCAAAAGATAAGATGATGAACTGAATGAAGAAAAATGAAGAAAGTTTCAATTTTGATGAGTTTTCTGAACGAATGGCCAAGAATAAAGGGTTTGACGAATTGTGGTATGTGGGTTATGGAAGCTTTCTGTGGGAGTACCTTATATACAAGCGAGGGTTTATGGTCAGCTTTAACACGTGGCAAGCATCTGTTGGGACGATCGAATAGGTTTTAGTACGTTACCAATTCTACCCACTTGCCCGAATTCCATTACTAGATATGGATGGAGCTTTTTCAAAATAAATAAATAATATAACAATTATCCTGGTACCTTTTTAATAATTCAATGCGCTTTTTTAATTGATCAGGACATCAAAAACCAACAAAGCATTTATCTAAATATTAAATATTTTTAAAACATGAATTTTAAGAAAACAGTAATGCCATTTTGATGTATGCATACATGTATGTATGTTTATATTATGAATTTAAATATTATAAATGTCTTGTACGAGCTAAAAAAAACTAGTCTTTATCATTATAAGTTTTTTATTTTAAAATAAATATATGTACCTATATAATATAATAAAAATATTAGGCTGTAAAAAAAATTAAGCTTTTGCAGCTCTGTCCACTTTACTCATCCCTCAAAAACCCCATGTATTTATATGTTTGTGAGAATATAACATGTATGTAGGGTCCTTTTAATGGTCATCTGCGAAAAATTAATTAAAATAATCTATAAATATATCTTTTTATATAAAAAGAAATTTTTGATATTACATAAGTTAATACATATTTTCTTTCTCATAGTTAAAAATGTTTGTACTTTGTATATATATAAAGAAATGCTAAAGTCACCTGATTACACTATTAAAAATGCATATTCCGTAATATTTAAATCTTCTGTATTATGATTTTGGGTTAAAAAAATCAAATTTTCTGGTATATCATATCACAAGATAAAATTCAATAAATTGTTGAAAACGAATATTTAAAAAGAGAAAAGGGAAATTTTATTTAGTTGGAGATGAGAGAAGGATGGGTCGTTATCTTGAGTTCCTGGGGCGGGATTTGACCAACCAAAAAGCGTGTCGTTGATAACGGGGATGAGTGGATAAGCTCGAAATTCTTTATTTTCCTCACATTTCATGCATATCCTTTTGCACCCTATTTTCATGTTTATTATTATTATTATTATTATTATTATTATTATTATTATATTGAACAAAATTTCTTTAAGAATATCCGTGTAATCAAAAGACCTCATTTGCAGCAACCAACATTGATAAACTTTGAAAGTTAAAGGAGTAAAATCCTTATTCGATCTATGATGTAAATTAATGTTGGACAACAAATCGAAAAAAAAAAGAGTTAAAACATATAAATCTTTTCATTTTGGTGGATTTGGTCAATTTGTTTGACAAAAAATCTTTTGTCTACTTTATACTAAGTACTATATTATTGTTCAAAAACTATATCACTGATTAATAATCTAATATTTAAAATAAGACAATTATAAACTTATATATGGTAAAAATCGAACATCTCCGACATATTTAACCCGCTTAATAAGTTATTTTAGCTAAAACATCTTATATTGAATTATTAATTAAACTAATTAAAACCATTATTTCTTACCATTATCTCTTATATTATATTTATGTGGTACGTATCTTATTGTAAAGCATAACGTGGAATAGCACATTTGCATATTCTTACCTACCTAACAGTATTCTTTGTCGGTGTGTCCAATTGTAGGGGTATTTATTACAACAGAAATTAAATTGATTCCTACTTTTTATGCCTACAAATATGCCTACCCAATAAAATTATGACAAGTGTCATCTTTCCATATTTTTTAAACTAAATGATTAAGACTATATTAGGAATATATCAAATACAATTAAATTGAATGATGATTTGTTATAATTTTAGTGGATAGGAATAATTGTAGGAGTAAAAGGTAGGAGGCAATTTAATTTCTCTTATTACAAATGTTTTTAATCTCGATTATTTTCTTCAATTTCTTGGTTCAGAAGAGAAATTATATGTTATAATATATATCAAAATAATAATAATACTGCTATTATTTTCCTCAGATTTTAATATACATAGTCATTAATTATTAAGAGTTAAAACAATCATAATTTTTAACGTACATTGTTCTCCTATACTTCAAAATATATCTCGTAATCATTTGTAATTAGTGTCTTTCTCTTTCATAAAATCATCTCTAATACTTCACCTCATAATAATTTATTCTTTTTGTTGTATGAACTTTCCAGTTTCCATTAACTTTTATTAAAATTATAAAAAGTATTTTCTACTAATTAAACTCTTCAAAAGCTTTTTAGTTAACTAGTTCACCATTTATCTATCTTGATTCTTTTATTGGTAACATTCTAAAAATTACAAGAACGAATTTTCATTTAAAATAGGTTAACCTGTAAAAATCTTTTTCTTATAATCATGATGTAACATTCATTTGTTTGAAAACCATAAGATTTACAGAGTTAAATTGTCAAAATAGCGGAAACCAATATCTTCGATGCATATGAACAGTCTGGTTGAGAGCTTTTTACGAACAATCTGCAAAGCATTTAATCTACAGCTGTAAGCATAAAGTTTAGTGAGTTTTTCAGTATACCACAAACTTCATCATACATATAATGCATACAAACAGGTACTCGACTCTAGCACCAATCTGCCAACTCTCCTATCCACAAACTTGCAGCATACATACAATCATACATATCATCTACTTGATTACTTGCACCTGTCACTGGCTCTCAGCCACTACAACAAACGGCTCTTAGCCTCCCTGCCATCATTATCCTCTCGTCAGAACCATATCTATACCGGGGCCAATGTTAATACTGACTACCGCCTCATGAATACATAGTCATAAATAGTCGGGAGTCAGATAGACAGTCGAACAAATGATCTTACCTAAAAGCAATAAATCAGATAAGAACCATGTAATAAGGCTTTAGATAAAGAGTTCCCAAACTATCTAACTTAAACTAGATACAACCCCTAGGGTATCCACTCAATGATCAACCAATATTATCATTACCTAAACCAATCATGACACCAAACGATATCATGCAATCATTAGGAAAGACCTTACCAGTCTAGCAAATCATGACAGCAAGTGTCATATACTATACATACATAAAAAGGAGTCATCCTAATCAACTAGCATACACGTACTCTAACAGTACCACTATCTTATCATGTATAGTATATACAATGTGATGATGTGATAAATCGAGTATGAAATAAATCAGAGTAACAAAAATGTAATATGAACACGAGAAGTAAAGATAATGTGGTTTCAGTTCAATTATGCTTTCAACTGTTTTACAGAGAGAAAAATAGACAAGTTCTGTAAAAAGACTCTTATCTAACTCTAAGTAATGTGTCTATTTATAGAAGACGTGAAAGCATACAAAAAATATTAAGACATAGACATCAGGCTTCGTATTAAAGACACCTTAGTAAATATATTACAAAACATACGAAGGGTACATTAATCAGACTTCGACTTATTACAAAACAACTTTAACCCTTACAATCTCCCCCTTTGTAATAAAGTCGAATTCTCTCAGTTCGTGAGTATCTGTATAGCAAACAACATCACCCTTCGTAGTTCCGTGTACCAAGAAATAATTCTCTTTAACTCCTTCTTGTCCCCTTCATTATTCTTCTTGCAATTATTCATACGAACAATAAAGTTCGTATACTAGGACGTAGTGTACCTTTCTACTCCGCATGCTTGGAACAAAAACCTTTTACCCTTCCCACTCTTATCTTTTCCTACGAAGACCATTCCAAATGGCTTTAAGCTGATCTCCCCATCTGCATACTTCTTTAATTTTGATTGAGACTTTGTTGGTTCCATGGGAGCTTTCACTTCTAATCTATTCGCAGTAGCTAACTCAACATCAGTAAGTGCTAAACATTCATACTAGTTGTCTATGAATATGTTGATGTGAGAAACCCCAAGTCGAAAAACTTCTGGATCGGTTTCTCAAATATACGAAGCATTTTTATCTTTTAAAAGCAATGCAACTTGACCATTTGCCCTTGTCACATAAAACCAAAGATTTTGCATCATGTTCTCGAATAGAACATCCTTCTTGATGCTTATTACCTTCTTTATTTTCACCAAAGACCATATTTCCTCTGGAGCTTTCCCAAGAATAGCATGAAATCGAAGTTTCATGTAGGTGTACTCATCTTCATTTTTGAACTTTTTAGCAATCTTGAATTGAGGCATTATGAACATCATCTCGCTTACTGGAAACTCAAGTTGGCTTGAATATGTGTTTGTAACCATATAGTTTTGTTTTGGCTTCTTTTCAAAAGCATACATGTGATTATAAGCCTCTTTACTTCAATGGTCGTATAGTTATAATGTTTGCCTGGATCTCCCTTGTTCATTCCAGAAGGATCACCTGCACATTGGCTCATTATACATTGAATAATTCTTAGTTTCTCCATTTCCGCTTCAGCTTCAGCTTTCTTTTCTTCTTTTTATTTTTCAATCACAACTGTTTTCCCTTTGTATTTGATCGAAGAAATATCAATATCTTCATTTGGCTTTGGCTTCGAACCACTACCTCCTTCAGCAGAAGAACCAATCACAATCCCTTTTGAAATTGGCCTTGTAATTGGAACTGAAGTTACAACAGTTGAAGTAACTGGCCCAGCAGATGAAATGATTGGCTTTGTTGATGGAATTTTTGAAGAGAAATTTTTTCCAACAACCTTAGCATCTTCATGCGAATCTTCACCACCAGCCTTCGCATCACCAACCTTCTTTTCTCCCCCTTGCACCCCTATGACAACAGGCGGGGCATCGGTTGGTAACAAACTTGAACTGCGAGATAAAAGGACTAATTGTTTGTGAAGGATTGCTTTGAATTGAGTAAACTTTTGTGAAAAAATCGGGAGTGATTAATGGAGAAGAACTAGACTTCGCGAGCAAACCCTTCAACTCATTTAACTGAGAAGTAATCTCAGTTAAATTGTTCGTTTCTTGAGTTGACAACTTAGTGAGTTGAGGACTCATGGCTTCATACAATTTCACAAATTTTATCACATCATCAGCAATTATGTCAACTTGTTGATTTAACGAAGCATAGTCCTTTTGCACCACTTCAATCTCCTTAGTCATATCCTCACGAAGTTTATGTGGCTTGAGATTAACATCTTCTCTTACCTTCTTCACATCAAGAACAAACAACGTATGTCTTTCTTTTGCAACATGTTTCAAGTCTTTTACTGACCCACAAACTTCGAATGTAAAGAGTTCACCCGTAACTCATTATTTTGATCAGTATGGTCCACCTTCTCTAAGATTCTAGACTCTGAATCTTTAATCATGCCAGACACTTTACTAACCATCCTGGCTTCAAACGCTTTCAACAAACCATCAATTTCTAAACTTGAAACAAAACTACTTCCCCCCATATCCGCTTGAGACTGAATAATAGAATTCAACCTTTTATTCAGAATTTTAAATTGCTTCATCGATATGAGCATGTAGTCAAGAAAGTTTTCTTCTTCCTCATCAAATTCTAAATCTTTGAAAGTTCCTCCAAAACCTCCTTCTTCATTCTCAGATTCTTCAATGGGTTTTGGTGGATCAGTAGATTGGGATGAGAAAATAGTGGTGAAAGGTTGATTGATTATATTTTCAAAAGTAGGCTAATCAGTGTATGAGGTATTGGGTATGATATATGGAGGTAGAGAAACAAGATGACTAGTAACATTTTTGATAGGATGAATAACAGGAGTACCTTGAGTAAATTTTGGTGCTTCTTTATTTAAATCTCCTTCACCCATATTGACATTTACATTCGTATCAGATACGTATATAGTGATGTCTGAAGTTCGTGCCTCCTCATGAAATGGCTTGGCAGACGAAACTTTGGGTGGTATGATTGTAGTCTTCTTAGGAGATGAAGTTTCTGTGATAAGAGTTGCTTTGGGAGTTTCAGGCATTTCTTCTTCTTCAGAAGATTCCGTTGGTATAACAAGTTGTTGTGTTTTTATCTTCTTCTTCTTCTTGGAAATCCTTTTTGCCAAGTCTTCAGTTCTTCGTTTTTTAGATGATGGAGAAACAGGAACTGGAACTTCACGAACAAGAACTCCCTGATGAGTAATGTGGTGTTTTCTAACCACATATGAAGTTGGAGATTTTCGTGAACTACTAGACTGCTTCTTAAGTCTTTGAAAGCCACCAAACTTTGATGGAATAGTAACCTTAGCTGGTTCATCAATAACTGGCTCTGCTGACTCGATCAAAACAGTTGAAACATGTTCTTCTGGCTTCGTCTGTTTCTTTGAAGACTTCGTTGGTTTTGATTCTTGAACAAGTTTTTCAGGAGTAGCATGTGAATCCTTCTTAGAACGTCGTGAATTCTTCGAAGGACCAACATCTGCACTTGCCAATAACTTCCAAGTTTTAATGCTAGGATCAATAGTCTTCGTATATGCCACTAACATAGAATTGGTTGGATCAACACGCTTTAACATTGCATCAAGAATTCGTGTAATGTTTGGAAATTCCCCAGCATCATCCTTAGCCTATTTTGGAAAGTTATATTTTAAGAATTCAACCCGTTGTTCATCAGCAGGCATCTCAATCCCTTCTTTATCATAAAAATAACGAAGGATCAGACTCCAGTACCTCGCGTACGAAATCCCTTGAACAAATTTAGTGTTTTCAACTCTCTTTTGAAACTCCTTCCAAAGTTGTGTAGAGTATTTCATCGGAAGATCATAGTACAGTCCAACAACCATGGCATACACCTCCATTCTCCTCTTATCTAGTCCGACACTACGACCTGTCAAACATCGTAGAAAAATACCGAAGAGAAAATTCAAAATAGTTGGAAGACCTAATTTCTTGAAATCACTGATGTTAGTGAGTTGGGGTTGATGACCCATCTCATTAAACATGTGGATAACTTGTGTAAAAGATAGATCAGTATACGGTGGAACGTTTGGAATTTCAATAATTTGAAGAAAAAAAAGTTTCTTGGACCATTGAACCTTCTTGTCATTCACTAGATTGAATGTGATTACATCAAGGGCTTTAGAATATGTTGTAGTAGATCCTGCTTGTGAAAGCTAAGAAAGAGGAATATCAAACGAGCTGAACATGGCCCAAGATTACACAGAACTCTTCAAGGAAACGATCAACATCTGTAATTCTTCTGGATAAAGAGATTCATCCTCCTCAACCTGATAGTTTGTGCTTTGAATCTTCATGATCGGATGGGAAGTAACCTCTTCAGTGGTTTGTGATGGAACACTAACATCAGCAGGAGCAGCCATGATTATTAGGGTTTGAAGGTTTGATGAACACTCAAAGAAATCTTTAACAATTTGGGAATTTCTTTTGAAAGCGTAAACTGATAAAGAATCCTTGAATCCCCTTTTATATGTAACCTTGGAATTTGAATTTGAAGCGGGATGTGCATTAAATGAAATCCAATGTGGCACCTTGAAAATCACACTACTATACCGATAAAGTAGCAATGCGTGAAAAAGTAATTGTCACTTCTCCTTGAAAACCGGAAAGAATACAAGAAGTCACATCCAACAACTTGTATTGAGTCATCCAATAGAATTGTAACCATCACCAACCTTCGGGTGGAAGTAACAATCTTTCACTTTTGGGATGAAAAGCGAAGTCATGTGTCAAACGTTCGAAATCATCAACCTGAGTTGGTATTACTCAGAACCTCAAGGATTTCGTGAGTGCACTGTGCCAAAGAAAGAAAGTAAGAATCAAATAAAAAAAAACTTTGGATTTTTGATGTCCAAAATTTTTTACCACAAAAGCAGTTAAACCCCGAGCAAAGGTTACTTCGTTAATTATCAAGAGATATAATCAACTGCTTGTGTGGTATCCCGTGAATTACAATCGAAAACTTATAGAGAAGTTTCAAAGGGCTTCTTTTACAAGGATTCGTAGGTGGTTTACATAATTTCGTTACATATCATCCTTAACATAAGGTGAGTAAATGCAACAAAAATCACTTGTTTGACTAGTGTAGTCGGTGACAAGTTGATGAGTTTTGAGCAATACATCAATCCTATGGTGTACATGAAAATTTAATAGCTTTGGATCTAGTTTGTCTAATGAACATATAATTGATTTTCCAAAGCCATAAACCCTAGATCTAATAATCTATAACTAAAATTAGGGTTTATGTAACACCCAAAGTTTCAAAGGCCAAGAAAGGAAAGAAAAGCCCTAATTTAAGGGACTCGACGAGTCCGAGCGGGATCCGGGTCGAGGTGTAAGCGACCGACTCGGCGAGTCGGTCAAGGTGACTCGGCGAGTCTGGTCTGTGCTTGGAAAACCCTAAATTTGGGACTTGGGGCCTATATAAATGTCTTAATCTTCTTCCTAGGGTTCCTTACTGCCTCTTTAGCCCTGGATATCAAACCCTAGCCGTCATATCTCCTAGTTGAGCCTTGGAAGGTGCATTAAAGCTTGGAAAAGGAAGAAGGAACTTGGAGGAGCAAGAAGGAGCTATAGATCTGGGATTGTGAGTTTATTCTGAGCACTTGGAGGTAGTAAACTAGTTCCTGGACCCTTTTTGCACCTAGATCTATGTGTGGTTGTTGGGGCTCTTTTGCCATAATGTTATTATTTTGGGTTAGAAGTCGGATCTGGAGTTGCTACTTCAGATTCAAGTGTTTTAGGGCCTGGAGAAGCATAAAGTATCAGCCATTGAGTCGATTTTGAAGTCCCTTGGCCTACACCCTAGTTAATGGCGTATCTTGCCTAGATCTCCTTCTCACACGTAAAGTTTGCAACTTTACGTGTGGAATAGGCTTGGGAAGGGTGGATCTATAGTTTGGAGTCCATGCATGACTCAAAAATCCTCTGCATGTAAGGAGATCTGAAGGGACTCGACGAGTCCTTTGAGTGGACTCGGCGAGTAGCATGAAGTTTTGGAGAAACTCGACGAGTGGGATGAACAACTCGTCGAGTCGTATGAAGATTGCCTTGGACTCGGCGAGTCTGTTCTTGGACTCGGCGAGTCAGGTCGCGAAACCCCAAACCCTTCGAGTTGTGACTCGAATCAGTGAGTCGGGTGGAGACTCAGTGAGTTGAACAGGTCTGGACTCAGAAATCGGTAGACTCGGCGAGTCATGGACTGACTCGGCGAGTCGAGTCGCGAATGAAAGGAATCTGATCATTTTGAACTCGGCGAGTCAGTAGGGTGACTCGGCGAGTAGGGTTGACCTGGAAGGTTGACTTTGACCAGGACTTTGACTTTGGACCAGGGTGGACTTGATTGTCTTTCGGGGGTCAGTTAGACTCAGTGTTGCATTGATATTGGTAGTTCGGGGAGCAAGGGGAGCAGGAGTTCCGTGAGTTGTCGGGAAGCAGCTAGTGAGATCATCAGCAAGTTCAGCCAGTTCAGGTGAGTTTCCCTTTATGTGAATGGGTCTAAGGCTACAAAGCCGGCCCATGTAGTTATGAGTAGAAGACCTGGGGGTTAGCCCTAGGCACAGTATGCTAGCATTGTTTGCAGTATGAGGTCCAGTAATAGCGGGCGGGCGCCCAAGGAATTGTTTATATATGATAGTTTATACTTGTTGTCTGTGTGATACATGTATGTACCTGGTAGGGAGGTGAGTGTGGGCGAGGTCCCGTATCTCACCAATAGCAGAGTGTGGATGGGGTTCCATATCTCACTAGTAGCAGATTAGGGGCGAGGCCCGAATTAGAACAGGAGTGAGAGTGGGCTAGGCCCGTACCTCACTACCATTAGGAGCATGGATGGGGTTCCATGACTCCTCAGTAGCAGGACATGGGCGAGGCCCAGGAAAGGCGAGGCCTTAGGACAGAACCAGTTGCATGTGTTAGTTATGTGTTATGAAATGTTTATGTGTTATTATTTGTTGACGGGCGAGGCCCTGTGACATGCGAGGCCTAACTAAAACAGATCTGTATCCGAGCGGGGCTCAAAGCCAGACGGGGCCTGGAGCGGCGGGGCCGTTGTAGCGGGCGAGGCCCGAGGTAGGGGGCGAGGCCCAAGATAGGGGGCGTGGCCCAGTATGTGCAGTATGTGGTTATGCATGGTATGTGGTAGGGTGGGGAACTGACTATGCTTCGTGCTTACGGTTTTCAGTTTTGGTTTCAGGTACTTCCGGTAGTGGAGGAAAGAGCTCGGGGTGATCGCATGGCACACACCATAGATTAGACAGCCTGGGAATGTTTACTCTGATAACGAACATATGTTTTGAAAACTTATACTCATATTATGTTTTGGAATGATGATGTTACTTTAAGTAATGATTTATTAAAGAAATTTTTGGTCTTAAATTTTGGGTCGTTACAGTTTAGATATTACCTTTGATTGTTATATAGCAATAACAATCAATCCTTGGTTTCAGAAAGCTTAGTGCCTCAAGTGTTGCACCTCTAATGGAGTCACAAACACCACTAAACAACTTGGATGAAGAGGGAGGAGAAAGGAGGCACCAAAAACGGCTGGAAACCCAAAAGAAAGTATTCACCACGTTTTTTGGGCCATAAGGGTTCCTTATATATGCTGGCTATTAGGGTTTACAGCTAGGAAACCCTAATTTGACTGCTTAAGCCCTAAGCAGCCCATGGACTCCCTCTTTAGAAGACTTGGACGATTTCTAATGGGTTTCCCCATAGAATTCATCCACTCCAACTTCTATAGAGTCCATTAGCCCATCTATGTAATTATCTTATAATTACATAATAGGTCCCTTAAGTTTAATTAATCTCTTTTAGCCAAAAAAAAAATTAATTCTTAATTAAATCTTGACTAATATTAATTAAACATTATGATTTCTCCTTTAATATATTATTCTTATAATATATTAATAAATCACAATTAAACCTCTCTCTCCTTAATTCATCCTACATATTCCTATGGTGAAGGCAACCCAAAAGGACCATGCTCATAATCAGGTCAAGTACATACTTAAATAGTTATGGACTTAGACACCAATCCAACTGTCTCCCACTTGGATAAGTCTAATAACTATTTTGCATGACTTCAGAACCTGATCAGCAATTGTAGCTTTCAAAAGCCGTTGTCAACTCTGATCTTATCAAATACGCGTGCCCTTTAGATAAGGGATCATATATTCCTCCATTCTCAAGATATCGTATAGACACAAGACATGAATTTTAATCATTCTCTCTATACTGTTTCCCGAATTCCGAATTATGATGACTGACAGCAGACTACAATTGAACACATCAACTTAGTCCTGGCTTAGGCAAGCGCTTAGGTGTCATCACTAAATCATCGAGGGGCCCACATATATCGCTTTTATCCCACTTTGAGTAAAACGAATGGATAAACCTCGACTCAAATGCTCGCTTGCACTTACTCATCAAATCACACACAACAATAAGTTTTATAACACCAAGTTACTGGTGCGTTTACTTATCATCAATGCGCAACCGACCAGCAAATAACAACTCACACGTAACC